GGGGGGAGGGTGACGTGCACTAAATAAAGACTTCAAGGACTCGCCCGGGCGAAGATTGCCCGCGCCGGCTGCTTGGGCCTCACGGGAGGGACGGGGCTGCAAGAGGGGGCCCGTCACCTCCGGCCCTTCCAGGGGTGCGACGGGCGGTGGAGGCTGGAGGGAGATTTGGAGAGCAGGCTCTCCGGCGAGCGGGGTGTCAGTTGTCCTGTGCCACAAGAGGCAGTCGCGGCGCGGAGGACACCTGAGGGTGCCCTAGGAGCTCCAGGAAGAGTTCTGGGCTCCCGCGTCTCTGCACCGTTGCAGTTCAAAGCGGGATGACCCAGCTCCGTGCCTATGCCGAAGCGGAGGCAACTTGGTGTACTGGAATGACATTTTTTGTGAAGATCATTAAATTCAGTTCTGCCCTAACTTGTGTTCACTCCTTCGTGCACACGGTCTGTGCATACGCGTGCATCCAGGCTGTTTCGGTCTGTATACCCCGGAGCTCATGGCTTGCTCGCTGTTTGTTGCAGTGGGGTTTTTTCATTTCTAACAAGCTCCAACGTGCTGGGGGTGCTGCGGTACCAGGACTATACTCAGAGTAGTGAGGGCCTGAGACATTCTTTTTTTTTTTTCTTTTTGTCTTTTTTTACTGACCGGTAACGGGATCGCAACCCTCCGTGTTGCGCCCACACCGCGCTCAGCCAGTGAGCGGGAACCAGTCTCCACATGGGATCCAAACCCTCCGCGGGAGCGCCTCTGCGCTCCCAAGCTGCGCACTCTCCAGTGCGCCACTGGGCGGGCCCCCTGAGACATTCTTAAGTGCATCAAACTTTGAGAAATACTGATTCAGGTGCTCGGGTGTCCTTTATTTATTCAGCGTCAGGCCACCGCCTCCCCAATGGAGTTGGGTTTGGAAGGGTCATCTTGGTGGAGGGGAGGAAACACAATTGTGCTCATCTCCCCCAGCTGTGCACACAACTGCCTTCCTGTGGAAGGACCTTCTAAGTATCCCCTGCAGACCCAGTTCCCTTCCTAAAGGAGTGAGTTTAGGGCCCGCCCCGTGGTGCACTCGGGAGAGTGCAGTGCTTGGGAGCACAGCGGCGCTCCCGCCGCGGGTTTGGATCCTGTATAAGGATGGCCTGTGCGCTCACTGGCTGAGCACGGTGTGGGTGACACCACGCCAAGGGTTGCGATCCCCTTACCGGTCACAAAAAGGACAAAAAAAAAAAAAAAAGGAGGGAGTTTTTTTTTTTTTAAAGATGACTGGTTGAGGGGATCTTAACCCT